TCCCTGCATCGCAACACTCTGCCTTATCACAGATCAAGATTCAATGAAGATGAGGACTACAGACTGAGATCCTGTAACCCATGAGTTAAAGTAACCTTTCATCTCATCCTTTCAAGTTACTATGTCAGCCATCTTGCCACAGCAGGAAGGCAGCTAGTAACGGCTCATAACAGAACAGGTACTACTTGCACAGGACAATCAGAAAGAATGAGGCTGAATTTTATACTGCAGCAGTTAAGGGCTGAAGATGGAGATAGCTGGGTCCACAAAGCCATTCCTCTCTGACAGTGCAGAGGACAAGTACCAAGTTATCACCACGACACAATATTTGATTGCGACCAATTTTATTTTCAACTACATTGTTGGGTACTTTATGGCAATGCAGAGTTCATTCAACATTTAATTTTGCATATTTAAAAATTCCCGAAGCAATACTTTTATACAGAATTTCTTTTCCGATAGTAGTCAAGTTTAGAGATGATATACTGTAGCCTCAACGGTGAAAGAACAACGAAGCACACCTCAATGCTCAGTGGGTTTTTTCTTTTGTACACACTGGTCACGTTTGAGCCAACAACTCTTCAGCAAAAGCAATGGACATAAACCTTGGAAACATTAAATTCTGAGTCCCCGTGTGTGGCCTTTATGTCAACAAATTTCATGTATTTGTTGTTTTAGGCACAGCTACATTATAACTGATTTTACATTCTTAATTTTTGGTATATGATTATTAAAGAGTTCTCAGAACTACCTATGAAAGCTACTTTATCTAAAAACATAGTGATTTAACACAGGCAATGCATCCAATATGCACAATGTAGTTGATTTGTTCTGCCCTAAACATCATGTAATCAGAGGTGGGATCAAGGATGGCCCTCATCTAAGGACTGAAACAGAAGTTAAAAAGGACTTACAGCTTTGACACATTAAAGAGGTAATCATCTGTGACTATACCGTGTAGATAAAAGACTGCACAGTTTCAATTACTTCATTTAACTAAAATGTTGAAAAACACTGACTCCTGGATTATAAAGCATTCCATTAGCATTGCTGTTCAGTACCTTGTTTTATTTTTGGTATATCTGTGTATTGCATCCAGAGTAACAAATTTCCCACAGTGCTTTCTGCCTCATTCAAGTATAATAAAAGTAGAAATCTATAGAAGCTCTCAGGCTAAACAAACTGTACACCATACAAAAAATTAATTTACAGTCAAAAAGTATTAGCAATGCCCTTTATAAGCCTCAGCAAAGACTCATCACAAGGGGTGTCAGAATCTACGTACCTGGTCATCACATAAATACACCGTTTAGATTCATGTGGTACAGAGTGGTTGTTAAATGTAGAGACATAGAACCAGCACTTTGTACCACAATGTTTCTGTTAAAGTAGCAGTATTATCAATACTAAGCAAAAGTACATGAGTTTCTTATTGCATATTTATTGTGACTGAGGGAGTTAGTTACGATACAATAATGCAATCTCCACAATTATTTTAAATAAACAAAAACATTTCTGCTAACAATATAAAGAATAATTTTTTTCTGAAATCACACAGAACATTGCTACATACAGTTTTAGGCAAATACTGAAAGATATGACCTTAAGGCATCTGCCAGAAAAAGCAGATGTGCATATTTATATTAACTAAATTACGCAAGAAAAAATATTGCACAAAATTCTATATTTCAAAATAAAATGTTTCTGTCTCAATATACATAATTCCCTATTTCTTAATTAAATTATAACATCAACTGGCTGCCTTTCTAGACTTTGAAGCTTTAAGAAACAGACAGTGACAACACTCTGGACTGGACATAGGAAAACGCGCATAGAGAACTGGGTTCCTAAAAATAATTACTTACATCAAGAGATGCTAGGGGACAGACTACATTCCTGAATTTTTATTCTGATCTTCAAACATCATCTCAGATTCAAGACTCACTGACACCAAACAGTGGGGTTCTCCTGAGAAAATTTTCTCGTGAAAGTGATGAACTTGTCCTGGAAATCTGAATGGAGAATGAATGGCTGTTGATTCTAAGAATGGCCCACAGCCATTTGCTACTGACCAGGAGTCTTTACTGAACAACTACTTCTAGTCACACCAGCCTAGGATCCCAGCAACACTGTCACTTATGGCTTCAACCACAAAGATCAGGGCTGTTTTAGAAAATGCTGTTAACAAGATGTCTTTTTTTAATGTAAAAACTGGACTCGCATCAACACAATGGGGCCCCAGTCTATGTATACCCTAAGTTACTCCTGAACTGGGGAAGTTGCCACATCATGTCAAGTGGATGGTCAAAGCAAGGACTCAGTCTTGCAGTGTCTCCGAATCTGTCCTTCAAAAGTGTAATCTTAGCAGCATTCTAGTAAGTTACATGATTACCAGAAAAGTGAATGATTCTGTACTTAGAACATACTTTTATATAGAGCAGCTACTCCTAGAAGCATCCTTGGTGTTGCTCTTGAGCTAGTACCATCTAAGCAAGTACATCCTTACACTATTTTTATTATTATTATTATTAGTTATTATTATTTTTGTTTTAACATCTACAGTTCCTTTCCCTTTTAATTGATTCCCCAGGGGCTGGGTTATTGTTTGCTTCCTCTCAAGCCCTTATATCCTTAGATATTATACCTTTCTCCCTTACTGCTACAAAGAGTCAGTAAGTACTTTTCTCAATGAAGGAGTCATTTATTTTGAGCCGGAAAAAATAATCAAGCTATGATCTGATGTATAAGATAGGCTAAATTAGGTAATCACCAATAAATGTCACTCAACAACACCCTCCCTTTAACAAAACTGCAGCTCCTAAATGTATCCTTCTATCCTGAGACCCCTGGCCCGCGATGGCTGCAAAGGGAAACTGTAGAAGAGTCGAGGCTTGGTACAGAGGCATATAAGACACTAGACGCTAAAGCTGGAGCAGGGGCTCATTCAAGCCTCTTGTAGATGGGAAGCAGCCTCTCTGAAAAGCTTATTTGGGAGCTCCAGTTGGTTGGTGGCAAAATGACAGCACAAGCAGAAAAGCTGACTTGGAATAGCAGGGAACTTATAAATAGTTGATTTGGTTTGCGCAAAGCAAAAATACTACTTTTGTTTATTTCAGAACTCAGTCTATTGTCCCTTACGTCTTACTGTATCCACCATTACACTGAGAAGCTGCGTTTAAAAGCTGACTTCTAGTCCTCAAGGTTTTAATGGTGTGAAGCACCACCACTTGCCTCCAGTTTTCTGGACATTTTTCAAGAGTAATGTGAACAATTTTGTTCTTTCTTTTTAACATGGAGTAAGGTCACTGTTTTGCTTGTTACAGTAAGGCACATATCACTTTAAAGTGTTTTCAAACAGCCTAGTGTCACAGTGGAGCAGCTCACCGGTTGACTCAGAGCAGAGAACTGGGAATCTGTGGCTATGGGTCTATCACATGGGCTGGAAGCCAGGGTTCTATCCTGCACTCAGGATTCTGTCATCCTTTAGACAATGAATTCGAAGAGAAAATAGAGATCTCACTTCGAAATTCATATGAGAGGCTCTGCATTCTAGTCAGGAATTATGTAGGAATGCTTGCCCACTAACTTGTCTTCCTTCTAAAACAGCTCTTCTGATATGGGGCTTTCCTGTATTATTTATTTCAGTAAGCTGGGATTAATGAAGGACATATACAGACAAAATCTGGCAACCTTGAATCATATTATTGTGTAAAAAACTAAGTATTACACATACCTTTCCATGAAGACCCTATCCTCATAAGGACAAGCTCCGACTTCCACTACAAATGAGTGAATAATTACCTCAAGTAAAACTATTTATAGTTTGGAATGCAGTTTTTTTAATGACCTGCATAAATATTTTAAGCAGTATGTTAAACAAGTCTAAATTTTTAGGTGAAATTATATTCCTGAAGTAAATACTTTAGAGTATCGTCTTGTTGAGGTTAAGTAGTTTTGCAACCATTTTCCCCTTAAAAAAGACATGATTGGGGATGTATAGAATAAAGGCAGGGAAGGGACAAATGAACTACCCCACCCAGCAGTGTGGTATGAGTGACTTGCATATGTTTTCAGATGCACTCCAAAGACAAACAGTAACCGTGAGGGGGCACGCTCCATAAGGAATTACAAGGATCTATTCTGATACTCCTCTGCCCTAAATAATTCTATTGTGCTACCCTCCCTCCCTCCCTCCCTCCCTCCCTCCCTCCCTCCCTCCCTCCCTCCCTCCCTCCCTCCCTCCCTCCCTCCCTCTCTCCCTTCCTCCAGCCTGCTGCATACAACAGAACAGAAGGTGTGGCGAAAACAAGTTTGTGGTGGAGAAACCCAGCAGGTGTTCAAAGTCAACACTACATGGAATGTGCTTGCAGCACACACAACCCCTGTAAGACACTGTGAAAATGGCATTTTACTGCTATGATCTTCTCCCTCAAATCTACGATCCCAGTGTAGTAGCGAGAAAAAGAGCAGACAAATTCTTGTAGCTGGCCACTGAGCAATACATCTGACCAATATACCTGAATATTTCAAAATCCAAAAGCAAAAAAAGGGAAGTGCCAGAGGGAAGAGGAGCCCCAGCAGACACGGTAGAGAGTGGAATGTAGAACTCTGAGAGGAAAGCGGGACAGAAAGGGGGCAGTAGGGAAAGCCAGAGCTCTGAATCCCATGTAGACCATCAACGCTGCGGCAAACGGAGCACACTGACTTAGGTACTAACAGGAGCAGAGACAGGGGCCAGGGTAGATGGGAATTTAGTACCATCTTCACACTCTTCTATAAATCTAGAACATTTAAAATACAAAGTTCATTATTTAAAAAAGCAAACACAAGGTAAGGCTATGAGCATCTGCATGGCGAATCAGTTACACAAGCAGGACAACTGCTTATCTGTACTCTGCATGGCATTTGGCTTTCTTGAGGTGGACCACAGTCACCATGGCATACAGAGACTGAACATTATCTGAGTGGCTTCTTTGTAAACAGAAGCATTTAACTTCACATTATAATTCAGCACTTCATGTATTTCACTGAGTGAAAGGTAAATATACACAGTTACATTGTTTGCAAAACATGGCTGCAGTGTCTTTATAAAAGGAAATTAGTTCCACTCAGAGAGCATTTAGGCTTGAAAAAAATGGTGAGCTTAATTCTGTGATAGAAAAAGGCATTATTGCTCTGAAAGACAAGATAACTCCTCTTTCAAGATATGCATGTAGCATCACACATGATCTGTTTGCTTAACATAACCAGAAGATTAAGGCAATTAGTGGGTTAACAGTTTCATCCAAAATATTTTTTATCAGTTGTGACACCATGATAAGCTCATGCTCAACCAGATTAGTACAGTAACTACTGGTTACATGTAGGGGTTACATACGCACACTTAGTTTAAATAAGATGAACAGCATTAAGCACCAAATACTGGGAAAGCTTATGTTTAAAACACACTTTCAGCCTATATACAAGTTAGTACCTGATTTAACAGCATAGAATTCATTTTACACCAGAAAACCAACAGATAACACAGCTCCATGAGATGAACAGATGGGGAAACATTCCAAAGGAAAACAATTAAACAGCAGTAAGAGTTTTCATTCCTATGAGTGATCCTGTTTACTGTACGCATCACAGGGAATTAATCCGGTGCATCTCTGGAGAAGCCAAGAGGCAAGGACTGACCCTTTACCGGTGCCTAAGTTTGGGTTTCACTTCTCTTTTCTTCTGAAATGTTTAGACCTTGTTGGAAGTCATTTGGCATGTGACACAGTGACACTACTTCTTGGAGCAGCCCAGTGTCTTCTGAAAGCTCCTTATGCTCTTGCCCTGCCTTCTCCCAGGGAACAAAGGTAGACTGGCGGCTCCCGAGGCTGGGCAGCAGCTGGAGCCCTGAAGCCTGACTTAGTGTTTCCTTCAGCTCTGCTTTTCCTTCACCTGTTTGAGAAGCCTCGGGGGAGGCTGCCTGGGAATCCAGTCCTGAAGAAGAAGCTGGCTTGTCCACTGCAGTGAGGCCACTCACAGTGTCAGCACAGAGGGACTTGTCACTGTTCTCCTCATTCAGGGTAAACAGAGAGTCTGTCAGCACACCAGAGGAAACCCTCTTCCTGGGGGATGGAGGGAGGTGCTTGCCATGCAGGGCGCTGTCGTCCTGCCCAAGATTCCACTCTCCTTGATCACCAGAAGCACACAGTAGGGTCAGGTTATGCTCACTGGGCGCATTGGACTTGTTCTGGGAAGGGAAATAACAACTTCAGATACTTTTAACACATGACGGCGACTCTTCAGAAGCTTGATTTCTGTCTTGAAAGTGAGGCTGCTACGCAGGGGCACAGACTGAACGCTGACATTTCTTGCCAGCTCCATGAACAGGCATAAGGGGAGTGGGGTAGGGACATGACAAACTCTGGCTGCCATGTGTTTAAACTGTCACCTATAACATCAAACTGTGCCTGCAATTCACACTTTAGGTTCTCTGCAGATGGAGTGGGCCCCACTCAGGTACTGCTACCTCACGGTCTTAAAAGTCCTTAATTCAGTACATTTAAAACTTCTCACTTTTAAAGCAAGAAAATAGAAAAAAAAGTTTTAACAGACATATTCATTGGGGTTTTCTTTAACTTTCTGGAATTTTTTTCAAAGCAGGAATTATTTCACATAAGAAGTCTTTACAAGGATGAGTATAAAATTAGATGGGAATATGGCTGGAAAAGGGTGTCAAGTAGTGGCACCCACTAGGAGAGTGAGTGGGTATCAATACAAGGCAGTGAATACTGTGGCAGTTTTAGTAGCAGACATGATTCATAAAGATGAAATTGGTACCATAGTTTGAAGTTTGTGTACCTTCCTATCTAGAGGTTAAATGCTTCTGTAAATTAAGATCAGGCAACCACAGCGAGGGCAAGAGTGTTTCCCTTTAAGTCTGTAAGAGAAACTCAACTCACCGTAGGTTTGTAATCAATGTCATCCATGGATCTGAAGAAATCCAGGCTCTTGGCAGCTGCCAGCTTTCCTTGATCAGAGCTGTGTGTGCTCAGCGTATCCAGGATCTCTCCCAGCAAGTCCATCTCACCTGAGTAAGGAGTCTTCACTCCTGCTTCAACAGAGTCATCGCTTTCATAGAAATAAGCAGATGTTTCTTCACCATCTTCAGAAGACACCCTGGAAGGAGACACAAGGTGCAACAGTGAGCATTTACCCACACAGGCTGGGTCTGAGCAGCTCGCTGACCTCATTCACTCTGTACTCCAGCAGCTGACTTCACTCACTCTGTAATCCAGCAGAGCAACAACGAATCGAAGGGCCAGGGGGAGTGCAAGCTTTTAATTCCAGCACGCCGGAGGCTGAGGCAGGAGGATTGCCAAGTGTGAGGGTAGGGGGAAGGAAGGAAAAAGGGAGAAGAAAAATGAAGAGGAAAGGAGAGCAGAAAGGGAGGAAGGAAAAGAAAATGAATGAAAAGAGTAAGAAGAAAAGACAAGGGAGGGTAGGAGAGGTTTGAGGACAGGGAGGGACAAAGAACAGAAATGGAAACTACAATTAGTCCACAGCCAAACTTATGCAATATCTATTTCAAATACTGAAAAAACTTGGGCACATGCATTACGAGAAAATAAAGTCATTAACCAGAAGCCAGACTTTTCATCAGTCTCATTAGATCGAACACTTAGAAAGTTTCCAACATTCCAAGTTTACTTTTCATATTTCATATGGTTTTCCTTTTCTTATTTGTCCTAGAAAAGAATACTCTCTTTTATAGAAAGGTTTATTTAATGTGAGAATTTTATTACTATGGATCTTAGAATTGCTAAAAACTGAAGTTTATATAATTTCTCTATTTTGCAGTATGTAACACAGTTCCATGTTTCTCTCCTATGATGGTACCTTCACCTGAGCCTCTCCCTCAACTCAGCTTGTTTCAAAATGGCTGTTATCACTGTCCCTATGTCACCGGTTCCTTTCAGTGTTGGGTGAGAACTTGTGCTCACCTGTGTCACTGTTTCCACTCCTTGAAAAACCTCTGTAGATAACTCTGCTTCGCAGGAACAAGACATTTCAAGTCTATCTTGCCTGGCCCTCTCCCAAGCCCCACTCTTCACAGCGCTGCATGGAGTACCATTTTGGTTTGGTGAAGACCATTGTGAGCAAGCAAAGCCTGAAGTTTAGGAGTGCCTAACCTCCTGCCAGTGAAGCATGCCACTCAATAGGACAGCACAGTGAGCCAGCCACACCACTAGATAGGGCCCTACAGTGCTGCCCACCAGTTAACCATGTCCCTAGACAGCACAACACAGTGCTGAACTCACTTGCTTGCTCGTTCAATGTCATCGTCATCATCATATAGGGTACCATCAAGGCTCTTATGAGGCCTTCTCAAGCGTGCCTGGAAAGACAAATTGACAATAAATTGTTACTGATTTAAAATATGTATCAATTATTTTAAAACGACAGTGTGATTTCATAAGAAGTATTTAAGAACTATCAAGAGTTGCCAATTTTATTACCTTCCCAAATCCCCACAAGTCCTAAGTGGTTTGTTTTGTTTTGTTTTTTTGGAGTCAAAACACTTGATTTAGAGACTTGGGGAAACGGATGGGGAGGCCCACGCTGCCCACTGTCCTCCACTGGGCAGATCTTCAGTCTACCCATCGCTAAGCAATCCTAAGTGTTTTAGAGCATGCTAAATGTATACATAAAACTCCAGGTGGTTTCGAGCGCCACAAAATGTAGGCTCTGGTTCTGCAGTGGTTCCAGAATTTTGACTTAAAAAGTTCTAAGTCTTCAGATACACATCTTAAGATAGTCACAGGTTAAAAGATACACTGTTGGGGTTTTTCCTTGAAAATAGACTGGTACAGTGTGATTGGTCTTGAGCTCATCACTGCTGAAGCTATAAGAAGCACATCTGAGAATCCTAAAATGCTCTCTTCATTATTACACATGTCTAAAACGTTTCAAATATAAGCTTTTCAATTTTTAAATCATATGACCTTTGACCCATGTCTTTTCTGATATGACCTCAGAAAAGAACTTTGGATTCTCCATGTGGACGATGGAAGACAAAGCCCAAAACTTGGTGTCATGGTGCTTAAAATCATGCACCATCCTTCTGGGTGGTGAACAGTGACCTTGAGTTTGCAAGCCTCGGCCACACCCCGTTACGAAGGAACTTCTTCCATCTCTAGTCCACAGTGGTCTCCATTTGTTGCACTATGGAATAAGTCTCTGGGTCTTCTAGCCCACCTGCTCCCTCTTGGTGCCAGTGTTCCTAAACAGCAGCGCCAAGATACACACAGAGTCGATCCTCGTGACTTGTATCTGACAGTAAATCCAGAGATGACTGATAATTTGTCCTAGTCAAACACATCATCCAAAACAGGAACAGCAACAACGGAAGTGACATTATCTGTTGTGCTGCAGATTCTAGTACACCGAGATACATTATGGGAGTTATTCATAAAGGATTTTAGAAACCCATGTAAAACTAAGTAAGAACTGTTTTGCTTTTAGCGACTGTTAACTTATGTCCAATGAAGACACCGTAGCTATTGCTGGCGCCTGCACTGCTAGGCCTCCTGTGCTCCTGGGTGTCTACGTGCTGTCCTCTGGATTCGTTTTTGTCTCATCTCATGGGTGCCTTCACTTCTTCACAGCTGGCCCTGCTGTCAAGGGGACATGTGGGAAGACAGAACAGAAGAATTGCCTTCGTCAGATTAGCTCTGGGCACATCAGGAGGGGACCTTCACTGCCAACTGATGCAGGAGGGCTCTGCCCACTGTGGGTGTGCCACTCTGGACAGGTGGACATGGGCTGTTTAAGAAAGGTAACTGACTGGTCTACAGAGTGAGTGCCAGAACAGCCCCTGTCTCAAAAACAAAAAAACCAAAAAAACAAAAAACAAAAAACAAAAAAACGTAACTGGATGTTGTGTACTAGTGTACTATTATTTACTAGGCAAAGATATGTTCATTTGTTTATGTTGTGGAATGTTGCTATGTACAGGTGGGTTACATTTCTTTATGTTGCATTTGCTTAATTATGTAAAGATGTGTTGCATTTGTTTCACCTGCCAAAGGCATCTGATTGGTCTAATAAAAAGCTGAACAGGCAGGCACGAGAGGGACAGGTGGGACTGGTGGGGACAGAGGATAAGTACTAGGAGGAGTCTAGGCTCGGGAGAAGAGAATGAGAGGAAGAGAGGGAGATGCTCGGGGCCATCAGCCAGCAGACATGTAAGACACACAGAATAAAAGAAAGGCAAAAAGCCCCAAGGCAAAACCATAGACGAAGAGAAACAGGCTAATTTAAGTTATAAGAGCTAGTGGGACAGGCCTAAGATAAGGCCGAGCATCATAACTAATAAGAGTCCCTGTGTCATGATTTGGAAGCTGGTTGGTGATCCAAAAGAAAGCCTGGGAGCCAGCCAGGAGGCAGCCTTCCTTTGGGATTCTGCTTACAGCTCCTCCTGAGCTCATGCCTGGGCTTCCCCAGGATAGACTGTTACCTGTAAGTGGAAACAAACCCTTGGCTCTCCAAGTTGCTTTGGTTCATAACAGCATCAACTGACATCAAACTGGAACAAAAATTAGCTCAATAAAACATGCCATGATTTTATTCTTTAATACAGACTTATCCTTTGCAGTATGCCGTTGATATTTCCTGAACAAATGAACATCTGTGAATATAGAGCAGGTAGGTTCTTCTCTTAATTAGGGTTACTGCTGCTGTAATGAAATACCATGACCAAAGCAACTTGGGAGGAAAGGGTTCTATTTGGTTTATGCTTCCATATTTCTGCTCATTATTGATGGAAGTCAGGACGGAACTCAAGCAAGGCAGGAACCCGGAAGCAGGAGGCCACAGAGCCATAAAGGAGTGCTGCTTACTGCTTCCCTCCTCATGGCTGGCTCAGCCTGCTGTCTTAGAGCACCACCCACAACGGGCTGGCCCCCAACCAATCACTAACTAATAAATGCTCCACAGGCTTGCCTGCAGCCCGATCTTATGGAGACATTCTCTTCACTGAAGTTCCCTTCTCACAGATGAATCTAGTGTGTCAGGCTGACATACAGCCACCCGGCACAGTTCTACTGAGTATTTAACTGGCTGACACCAGTCTCTTCAGTGTTCATAAGGGGTATATGTCCATTCACTCTCTCAATGAAGACTAAAGAAATATCTTTCTGTGACAAGTATTAGGCTATATGGTGGAGCATCACAATGAACAAGAACAGGGCTTGCATCCTTGTGGATGTTAGGTTAGTAAATACAAACTAAACTAACTCTAGTAACCACAGCGATCACCATAAAAGGTATGACTTAAATTAGCTTCTACTAAGCTATCAATGCCAGGAAAGCTCTTACTAGGAACTGACCTGATCTGAGAGCAAAAAAGATCCCTTCCCCCTGGGCCCCAAAAGGTCACAGGGGTTAAGGACATGATGAGAAGAGGCAAACAAACACACCAAGTCCAATCACTGGGAAAATCAGGGGAAAGGTGAGAAAGTGCACCATAACTTCTGGTTTGCAGGCCTAAGACCTTGTTTTGTACACCCGCTGCCTTCTGGACTATTAAAACTTGCAGTTACCCTTTTGCTCACTAGGTGGCACACACATATTAAAAAGACAGCTGGACATATGGAACTCATGGGGTCACACAGAGGCCCAATAGCTTTAGCAGGGAAATGGAGGAGATGAGAACATGGGCAAGGGAAGCAGAATCATGGTCCCCAATAACGTAGAGCAACAGAAAGCCACTGGCTCAAATATTTTCTCAGAACTTACTAAAAGTTGGTACTGTCCACCGGCTCTTCAAGTTAAGGCAGTAGATGCATCTGTTTTCTTTTAGTCCTTCACATTTCTTCACTCCATAAACACACAGTAAGCACCAACTATATGCATTTTACTGCTTCCATAGTACATGTATTATAAACAAAAATATTTCCTCTACACGAGGAATATACCAACTGCAAGCACACTAGTCATTTCAGAGTTACATCTGATGGGCAATTAGCATCTCTCCTAGTATCCAAGCATTAGACAGGAAAGGTATCCCTTGGGATATAAAATGGGGAGCTGGATGGCTTAGTGGTTGAGAGCATGTGTTGTTCTCACAGGGGATTAGAGTTCAGTTCCCAGTACCCATGTTGGGTGGCTCACAACTGCCAGTAATTCTGCAGGCAACTGATGCCTCCAGCCTCCTTCACAGACATGGACACATGACTGAAAACAGAAAAAATAAATATCTTGGAAAGACTATAGAGCATACAAAGCTTCTATGGCTTAGAAACCAATTAAAAAGAAGACTCTGAACTGAACATCTTAATCAAACATCTGAACATATGTAATTGGAAAGTACCATTTGCTTCTGTGAAAATGTAAAGTGCACATTTAGTGTATGTGAAAATTCACCAAGTCAGCGCTCATGACAAGGGTCACTTGCCATGACTGGGGGAAAATGTTAAAATACTGACAAAGAAAGTCTATCAGTATAGAATGAAAACTCCTGGAGCTGAGCCTGTATGTAGACACTGAATGAAATAAAGACCTGTGGAGACAGGAAGTGTACAAGGAAGAGAACACACAGGCTGACACAGAGAAGGACTAAGTCACACAGCCCCAGCACTGAATGTCTGAAGAGAACGCTCACTTCATCCAGCTGTGACAGCATGACAAAGGGCACCTTCTCAGCAGTGCCTTCTGGAAAGCACCCAGACTGCCAAGTGGCCCAAACCAAGGAGCCTGGGAAGCTTGCATTCACCCTTGTGATCGCTAGGTGGCAAGCAATGCTAAGAAGGCTAAATGCAGCTGGAGCTCAGCCTCTTGCCAGGGTGGGGTAGGGGAGCGGGAGTGGAAGAATTGGAGGGACAGGATGGAAATAAGCAGATGAAACAGAAAACACTCATTTGGCCTTCACAGAATTGAAATTCTTATAACATATTAACATTTCTGAGACAGACTCACTATGAAGATGAGACTGGTCTTGGCTTCACAGACCATCTCTGTCTCCACAGGACTAGGGTTACAGGTGTGTACCCGCATGTCTGGCTTACTGCATAGATTTTTTAAAGCATGGCCTACTTTTTTTAAAAGACTTATTTGTATATGTACAAGTGTTTTACTTGCATGTATGTATGTGTATCAGCTGTTGCCTGGTGCCTGAGGAGATCTGATGGCGGCTTCTGATATCCTAGAACCAGTGTTAGAGTGCTGTTAACTACTGTATAGGTGCTGGGAACAGAACCCAGGTCCCCTGCACGAGCACAAAGCATTCTAAACCATGGAGCCATCTCTCTAGCCCCTAAAACTAGGTCTAATTTTTTAGATTGCCCCATTTTGGAGTTGAGGCAACCAAAATCCAGAAATAATGTTTTGCTGACCCAC